GAAATAAAGTAATGAAACCCAACAGTCAACCCAGCCCAATTAGGTCCACTGACAGCAACCCATAAACTAATAATGGGCGAGGCCCGTCCTCCTGAAGCATTGGCTCGTTTGCCTCCTAGAGCCTCGGCCCATCTGCCTCCCACTCCCTAACAGCCTGAAGGTATTATCTGTTTCCAGCTACGAAAAAGAGTACCAGACTACCAGAGTGCAAGGAATTCCTGGATGCATGATCAGCTAGAGTCCGAAGAGACACCGGACACTCAGTTAACTCATAAAATCTTCCAACCAATGTGTTGAAAATCTTCAAGTACTTGACGTTTGTATTCTGTTTTCTCTTCCAACCTTGCCTGGAGATTTCACCTGACTGGTATTCCAGAGAAAACTCATCAGCCCATCTGAGTCCAGAATTGCAAGAGTCCCGAATTGCAGAGAGTATCAAACTGCAGTTCCTTATGGGCATCATATCCTTGTCATCTGAATGATTGATAACATCATCTGCACCCAAAGGAGCTTGGCCTTGTCCTTCTATATCAGTCACCATCTTCTTTCTCCATCTGTTGTTAGCAAGTTGTGGATCACTATCTCCCCTTTCGAGTAATATATCTGTTCCCCCCAATTTCAGCAAAGAAAAATTCTGACAGATAATTACACCCTGCACAGAAACTGGCCACCACAAGGCATCTCCAATTAAAACTACAAAGTTAGCTTCAGCATCGATTTTGACTATGGATTTGGTTAATTCTTCCCTATCCACGCTTTCAGAAATCCTATCTGCTGCAGCAATAATCTCTTCACAGTGATTGATCTTATTCCATTCTATCATCATTCCAGGATCAATGTAAGCAAGAGTTCCATCCTTAACAGCAAACTTGGGAGGTTTCATATCTCCACTATACAAGTAAAAGGCCTGTCCCATGCCTACAGCTTGATCACAGCTCAAACTATCAAACCTGTTCAGTCCTTCCCAATTAATGTTTGATGAATGATGGTACACCATTGCAGACCTGTTGGTTTCCCGGTCTGGCTTGACGAACTCGTACTTGGAGAAGGTTTCTGGTCCAGCTATTGCACCAGCTTCAGGCCCCGCAATCACCGATACTGGTTCCTCGAGTTCATCTTCGCCTTCAGTGAACTTGTCTGCCTTTTCTCCAAACTGCGAAGCACTCCTATCATTCGAGGAAGGTTGCCACAGCTTAACAGACCCCAAACTGAGTGGTGAAGCTCGCGGAGTGTGAGAAATGGCTAGAGTTGATGAACTGTGAGATGCGGCCAGCGATTCAGAAGAAACCTGTGAAGTAGGAGAAATAAAGTACGATGCTGACTGAGACGATTTCTGCGAACTACTGTGAGAAACGACTTGCGATTGCGAAGAAGTTCGCGATTGCGAGCTGGGAGCTGCTACGCGCGATGCAGTCTGCGAACAGGGGGTATTCATCCGCGACTGCGAACCAGAAGAAATCGGTCGTGACTTCTTTTCCGGTGCTGAGTCCTTCGTTTCTGATGATCGACGGCTCCTGTTTGTCCGCGATCGATCTCTAGGTTGCCTGCGACAAAACTGACGGAAACTGTCCATAGACTCGTCCAGCTTAGTCCACATCTCCTCCATCCTTGCTTCCATTCGCAGCAATGTTTCTTTCCCATTTGCATAACTGCGTTCAACAGCCTCCAATCGCTGTTCCATCTTGGCTCTTGTCCGAAACAGTCACAGCTTGGAACGAAAAATTTCTGATGATGCAACGAGAAATCAGGTCACCAGAATGATGCTCTGATACCAATGATAGGTACTCAGATTTCGTAACAGTAAACTATCGATTATATTGTGCTGAATCGCAGAAAGAAGAAGATGATACAGCCAGGGCACTTCGAGGGGCCTCTACTCTCCACAGAACCGAGTTCCCAAATTCTAAAATCTGCCTAACGACCCCCCTTCTCCCCTTCCCATTCTTATAGTTATTATATCCTAACGGGCCAGCCCACATTTTAAGACATGGCCCAAGATTCTTATTTAAACAATACCATACTTATTTAATATCAAACTATAACTACTACTATTATTCTCTACAGCCCAGGGCCCTATCATTCTTCCATCCCAAAAATGATTTGCAGAGTCATCTTTTCTTGGTCAGTATAGTTTCACTTTATCTACTTATTTAGCATATTAATTTTTTATTATATTTGGATTTTGTACTGAAGGTAAGCAGTGACAGCCTGAGAGGTAACCTTAATAAGTTCAGTGTTCTAACAAGTGCTAGCTAGCCATTGAGCAAGTAACATATTAGGGGGGTCTAGGTTCTAAGCGGGGTCTTTTGAAAAGTATAAGTGGCTAATGCAAGTACCTATGCATGGATTTTTAAAGTAGAAGCTTCAATACATAAGCTAAAGAGATACTACGCAGCATTTAACTATGATATTTATCTAGATCAATCCAAGATTTGATTATTTGATGTTCGAATTCCATTATTAGGTTAGATTTGTTGTCTTTGTAGGTGGATGATAGTTGGGAACCACCTGCAAGGGATGATTTAGGGTGTGACTTATTGCACCTGAAGACGGTTGAGTTGATTGGCTTGGCAGATGCAGTTCTTGGCGGTGAACCATTGCTTACATTGGCACGAGTCATTCTCAAGAGGGCAACAGCCTTGGAAAAGATGTCAATTGTGGCAACTACAGAAACCACAGAAGAATTTGTCAAGATAGGTCAAACCTTGCTAACTTACCCGAGATCCTCCCCAAATGCATCCATCCACTTCCTTTAGATCATTGCTTTTTAGTTTTGTTTTGACATTCTTCTGATCTTAATCAAATGTCCAGTATAGCGTATATTCATTTAGAGACGAGATTATAACATGTCTTTCATATATGAACTTGAATGTTTCTTTAGTATCTGCAGGATGGATCCATGATCTAAAGTCAACGGAGGGAGTTATTTTTCTTTAGTGTAACTGTGTAGGGGTGAATTTATTTTTGCTAGTGTAGCGAGGTAAAAAACAAATTCACTAGTGTTGACCGTAGAGCTCTGCGGTCATTTTTTATTCAAAAATAAATCTATTAATACATACGCGATGAGCTTTAAAAAGAGAATTCAAGTGAAGATACAACGTAAAATGTCCCTATTAAGAACATTAAACATCAACCAACTATCATAAAGTCTAAGTACAATAAATACCAAAGTAAAAGAATATTATGTGAAATTAATCGAATCGTCCATTAATTATTAAATATTGCCGGTAAAATATATTAAAACATTAAACTTATTTATTACACATTTTGAAAAACATCTTTAAATACAACTTTTTTAATATTATTTTTTGATTGTAACATTCTTAATATTGTATAATGACTTTTCATCCTCATTATGTGTTGAGTTTAATCCAACACGATTTGATAAATATAGATATAAATTGGTATGAATGCTCTGTTTTTACATGGAAATCTGAAAGGGAGAAAATCCACGAGACTTTTTAGGCTAATGTCCAAGTCATCTTTTTCTCATTAGACTCTCCTCACCGTTAATGGAGTTCTAAGCTAGCTATAGAGAATAATAAGTTGGGGAAGAAGAGAAAAAAAGGATCCCTAAACATGTGGGAATGTCCCATATTTATAGGGGAAAGGGAAAGAGGTGCAAGCCACCCTAATGGCCCAACGGGCAAAATGCAGGCCTGCTGGGCTAGATGGCCGAAACGGTTCGAAATGGACCTCACTGAACGGGCTCCGTACTGGGTAATGTCTTGGGCCCCTGAACAGTAACAGACCAAGATAATATATCCTAACATTATGTGTAAATTTAAGTTCTTGAGTCCATATTTGCTCTCAACTCTTAATAATGTCACATACTCACATATAGTTATCAATGACTAAAAAAGGTCTAGATATGTATAAATCAACCCTTTCAAGTGATTGCCCTTGATATTTATCGATTATTATATATCGAAGGAGACAACTATATGAAGTTATCGCAAGATTTAATCATTGTTAAAACTCCAACAATTGATCAGTACAAAGGGATATTTTAATGGGGTGATTGGGTGTAAACGAAGTTCTGAACTTCATGTGCATAAGCTTAAAAAACACTACATATCATAATTTGTCATATCCAAAAGTACTTAAGTTTAGTAACATGGGTAAACAACCAGGGAAAACTAATTCATGAATAATTGGTAAGGCATATCTGTACCCGAACTTAACTCCAAGTCTAACAGGAAAAGTTAGCCTACCAAACTCCATTTTTAGACTAATCTTTTAAATGGCTTGTTCACTATTAGGGGTAAGCATGTTGGTTTAGTTTAACCGAATTATACCAAACAAATCAAAAAAGAACCGATCGGATCATATGCAATTTGGTTTAAGTTTGATAGTATTTCTTCTAAATTGTATTAAACCGAACTAAAACCGATACAAACCGAACAAAACCGAACCGAACTCAAGAAATTCAATAGAAATTCATACTATGCATAGAACTAAATTATATTAGTGAACTAAATTATTTTGGTAACACTTGTTTTTCAGCTTATCAGCCATCTTTTTCACCAAAGACGTAACTTTTGTTTTCCTGCACTGAATTGTGTAATAATAAGAAAAAGAAAGGTTGAAGTTACTTTACTGACTTTATTGACCGAATTCAATGCAGATGACCATTTTAGCTATTTTTACATATAATTTTTCTTTATTTTATTAATAAAATATATTTTTAAAATAATGATTTCTTAAATCAGCAGAATCAGCCAATGCAGACACTTTAGCCAGAACTTCATAAATTTCAGCATAATCAGCCGAATCAACCGATTTTCATGTTACCAAATAGGTTCTAAAATGATTATCTACAGTAATTTCAGCCAACACAATCAGAATAATAACTACAATCTAACTTTTTCTTATTATTACACAATTCAGCGTGAGAAATAAAAAATACGTATTTGAAAAAGTTAACTGAAAGATGTTAAGTGTATCTTAGAAATAAATCACAACTAGCCATATGCCCATATTCGCTCACTCTTAACGGCCAAACCCAATTAACTTCCTATCCTAATACACATGAGAATTGAGAATTTTCGGCTTATCAGGTCCAGGAGCCGATCTGTCTGGAGGTGGCGTTTGGGAAAGGCAAAGCAAGCCTAGGAAAACGGCTTTGCCCGGCATCACTTCGGTCAGTGGTTAGTCAAGCTTTTATCTGTGAATCAGCCTGTATTTCGTTGCTCTTCTTCATGAGTGACAAAACCTTACCCAACAAAACACAACCATCGGGAGAAATTGATTTTGGCGGAGTAGGAGATTTGGGAGCTAAAAATGTACTAATTCTTTCAGAGCATAATGATGCTTCCAATGAACAGATTAAGTGTTCAATTGATAGGCTCAGTGCATTGCCAGATTGCATAGTTATTCACATCCTTTCTTTTCTGGGTTTGGAGAAAGCTGCTATTACGAGTGTTTTGGGTAAAAGATGGAGATATCTTTGGGCAGAGTTGCCCAAGCTTGAGTTCTATTTCTGGGAGAACAGTGATGAGGAAACTAAGAAAATAAGTGACTTTGTGGCTTGGGTTCATAAGACCCTTGCTACTCGTAAGAGTAAGTATCTGGAGAAGTTGACAGTTAGATTCCCGTACCAGGAATGTTTTTCATCCGATGTTGATAACTGGCTTGAGTTTGCTTCAAAAAACAAGGTGAAAGAAATCTATTTTAACCTAAGCTTCACGGAAGATTTCTATACTCTTTGTGACATGATGTATTCATACCCTTCCTTGACATCATTGTCGTTGCGTGGATGCATTTTGAATCCTGAAAGAAAAATCGAGTGGCAGTCTTTGACTTCATTAGAGATTTCAAATGTGGATTTGCCTCAGAGTGTGGTTGAAAAAGTACTCTCATGTTGTTCAGTTTTGAATAGCTTGAATCTGCGGGCTTGTTGGGGATTTACTTGTTTGAAGATAAACTCTCCAAAGCTTTATAAGCTTCAAGTGCATGATTCCTACGAAGAAGAAAGTGAAAATTTCCTTGAGATCTCGGCCCCCTATCTAAAATCTTTGGTTCTTTCGTTGTATCCTATAGAAAGAAAGTTGAAGCTCACTAACCTTTCATCTCTTGTTAGTGCTCAATTTAGATTCGCTGGATATACTTACGGTCCAATGTATGAGGATGTTCTCAATAATACGAAAGAAATCTTTGAAAACATTCAACATGTCAAGGAGCTTGAGCTTGGTCATGAGCTCCTAGGGGTATGATCTTTTAGCCAAAATTCCCCAAAATGATCTGAATTGATTATTTGGCTTCTACCCTGTACCAGCGTTTGTTTATAAATGTTTTTCAATTAGGATGGGGTTATTGGAATTTATTTGTCAAATGATTTTTCAACTATGTCATACAAGAGTTGGTTGTTTATTGTGTACAAGACAGATATGTCCATGGAATTGCTGAACTAGTGCCTTCAGCTAGTTAGGATGTTTTTACTTGGACTGTAATTTGCTGGTCTGGATTGGTCCGGTCTAGTCTGGTTTGGTTTCTTTGTATTTTTATAACTATCCAAGTCAGGTCTTATATGGTCTGCTTTGGGACAGATTGCAGTCCAAGTAAAAACATCCTTAGTATCACATTTGCCCTAAAAAAATCAAGTCATTTTGGTACAAATGTAAAAAAAAAACTTTATTTTGGTTCACTGTTTAGGATTTTGTTACTCCATTACTTATGAGTTTAAGAAAAACAACTTCACTATTGTCTACATACTAGCATCATTTCAGGAAATGAAAAAAAAAGGGTGTCCCAAAATTGAAAGTGCTGCATTATTTCGGGACATATGGAGTATATGAAGATAGGTTGCCTTTTGTGTATGGCAGTACAAAACTTATCCATAACAGAATCTCTTATGAATTTCACCATGACGAATACTATGTGCGAGTTTACTTTCTTTAGTGTCAAGAACAAATCATGTTATCAAAGTGATTTGTTATGTGTGGCATAAATGTGTATATTTGCAAGCAGATCTTACATTGTATATTCTGTATGTATTTTTCTGTGACATGTATACTAGGCTATAGCAGCATTGGCGGTGGATGCTAGTTGGCAGCTTCCCAAATCTACACGAAAGAGTTTGAAAATAAATACGTTTATTGATGGTGAGGATTATGTTTCTGCCATTGTAAGTCTGCTTGAATCTTCTCCTGATCTGGTGGCATTGGTCATAGAATGCGATGATCCATATGGGGTAAGCATGCATGTTTGGGATGAATAATTATTCATTCAGTTTCATTTTATGTGGTTCACACATGCAGTATTCTTTTTGTAATATTTGAATATACTACCACTCTACCAGTTACTCTTTATCAGAATGTTGTTTTCTTATGGATCTTTGCTTAACTCAATTTTCTTAACTCTTGTTTAGTCCAAAAGATGGGGTGGGGGTGGAGGAGGTTTATAAAATATTATACTCCATACTTGTTTCTCGAGTCAGGATGAAGTAGTGTTTTAGAAATAAATGTGAAAATCTCATATATATAGTACTGTAATTCAATATGTATGGGTCTAGATATGTAAAGATAATAATCGTGTACACCAATTTTGATTTGAAAATAAAGGTTGAAAGAAACTACTCCCTCCATCTGAAAATGATTTGCAAAGTCATTTTTTCTTATAGTTTCACTTTATTCTAACAAGTGCTAGCTAGCCATTGAGTAACATATTGGGGGGGGGGGGGGCTAGCATCTAAGTGAGGTCTTTTGAAAAATATAAGTGGATAATGCAAGTGCCTATGCAGGGATTTTTAAAGTAGAAGCTTCAATACATAATTAGGTTAGATTTGTTGTCTTTGTAGGTGGATGATAGTTGGGAACCACCTGCAAGGGATGATTTAGGGTGTGACTTATTGCACCTGAAGACGGTTGAGTTGATTGGCTTGGCAGATCAAGTTCTTGGTGGTGAACCATTGCTTACATTGGCACGAGTCATTCTCAAGAGGGCAACAGCCTTGGAAAAGATGTCAATTGTGGCAACTACAGAAACCACAGAAGAATTTGTCAAGATAGGTCAAACCTTGCTAACTTACCCGAGATCCTCACCAAATGCATCCATCCACTTCCTTTAGATCATTGCTTTTCAGTTTTGTTTTGACATTCTTCTGATCTTAATCAAATGTCCAGTATAGCCTGTATTTATTTAGACACAAAATTATATCATGTCTTTCATACATCAACTTGGATGTGACTCTTAAATCTGATTTTTGGGGATGTTTAAATCTGATTTTTAAAAGGAAAAATTGGTAGTAATAATCCCAACTATTGGCGGTCCGCTCATAATAATCCTAACTATTGATTATTACAGAATAATCTCAACTTTAGGGACCTTCCGCCAATAATGGTCCATATGAATAAATTCTTGTAGTTTCTAAAGTGGATGAGATGAGATATAACAAGTAATCCCTATAAATAATCTCAACTTTTAATTTTTACACTAAATTTCTATTTAAAATTTTCTTTTTATAGAGGTAATATATGGTCATGGACCATTATTGGCGGATAGTCTATATAGTTGGGATTATACAAAAATAATCAATAGTTGGGATTATTTTCAGCGGACCCGCAATAGTTGGGATTATTATTTTCAATTTTTCCTTTTTAAAATTGCTTCTTCTCCTCCAAGGAGTAGAAGCAGTTGCAGTATTTGGATGGATGTGTAGAAGTACTTCTGGTGCTCTAATTTTTTACTAAAAGCGGATTTTTAGAATCTATGAGTGACCAGCTACTGAAAACTGATTCTGAGTCTACTTTACAAAAGAAGCAGAAACAGAATCAGTTCCAAACACCCCTTTAGTGTATGCAGGGACGGATTCATGATTTCAAGTCAACAAGAGTGTATTATTTTTCGTTAGTGTAGGGGGTGAATTTATTTTTGCTACTGTAGCGAGACAATTTTTTTCACTAATGTAGAGCTCTTTGTTTATTTTTTATTCAAAAATAAATATATTAATATATTGACAATGACATTTAAATTTATTACATTCCAAGTTTAAAAATTGAAACATAACTTTAAATTTATAATTGAAGTAACCTACAAAAAAGTATTGACACATTAAAGTGTAGCAACTGGCAAATCAAAGGAAAGTTATTTGAACATAGAAAAATAATACCATGATATATGATATTTTATCAAATTATTTGAAGATAAAGAGTTTAAGAGGTACACATTTACTAATAATATTTAAATAACGTTTGTCTTGTTTAACCACTTGAATTGTATCGGAATAAAGATTCGATTTTTAAATTGCTATAAATGGTGTTCCTGAGCCAAAAGGAGTTCTAATAGTAGTATAGTACAATAGTATGTACCGGCTTTTGCCTTCAATATTACTAAATTAAAGCCATTTTCCTAGATTGTGACTATTTTTTCAAAAAGACAAAAACGTGACTAGGAAGGTCATATGTTTGAAAAAGCATACTATCACTGTCAGATTTTATGTCACTGCGGGTCATTGTAGCCACCACCCGTGTCACTGTACCCACCGCCCGTGTCACTGTAGCCACTGTCTGTGTCACTGTAGCCACCGCCCGTGTCACTGTAGCCACCGCTCGTGTCACTGTGGCCATATATAGTGACGCCGCCGCAGTGACTCAATTATTCCAGCCACAGTGACACAACTATTCCGGTCAAAGTGACACAACTATTCCGGTCAAAGTGACTGTCGCCGCCACCCCCCGGCCAGTAACCGCCTCTGGCCAGTGACTGCCGCAGCCCCACCCGTGCCCTCAAACCAGTCACTGCCTATTACAGTTAGGCTGCCGCCGCCACAGTGATGCAGCACCACCCTTGTACCGCCGCCGACCATCATCGCACCACCACCGCCCCACCCCTGACTTGACTCCCTGACCCCCAGTCACCTCACCAACCCCCTCCAATCCCCCAGCCACTCCTACTCTCCTAGACACCTTCCCATCCCCCCAAGCCCCCTCCACAGCCTCCAGCCCAACCACCAGCTCCCCACCCCATCTCCCTGGCCCCAGTCTCATCTCAGCAACATCACCATAGATGAGGGCAGCAACTTCAAGCTTTCTGTCTTCATATGAGGAAAGCAGGAAGAACGGGATACCACCACCGCACCTCCGCCAGCAACGGCGGCTCCAAATCGGAGTCTTCATCCATCAAGATGGCGGATCCGGCGCCAGCGGGGCCTAATTAGAGTCGTCGAACATTGATGAAGGCGGATTCCGAACTGTCAGCCCCAAATCGGAGTCTTCCTCCATGGGAGGGGCGACGAGCGAGCAAAACGGAGGAGCTAGGCCTCAAATCGGAGTCTTCATCCATGTTGTTGCCGTCGACGAAGCAGAGGGCGGAGGTTTATTGCGCCGGTGATGGAGGTTGCGAGGTCGATTGCAATGAAGGCTCAGGCGGAAGATTCCCTAAAAAAAGGTCAGAATAGAAGAAAGAAGATGAAGCAGTGGAATAGAAGAGGAAGGTCAGCGGAATGAAAGAGGTGGTGGGCCGGGTCACTTTTATGGTATTTCAAAAAATGGACATAGTTTTGTCCAAGATAAGTTGAGAAGTTATTTTGGTGCCATTTTTTCTTTATATTTTGGATTCACATCACATAATAAAGAAATTGTTTAACTAGTGTGTCTGAAATTTAATATCGTTTGATATTTTACAAAATCGAGTACTAATAATCTAGTAGGGATAATTAAACAATTCAAAATTGTGAAATTTTATATACTATCCTCCGTTCTTTAAAAGTTGCAACAATCTGACTTTCATGTTCGCCAATGCACACCATGAAAACTCACATGAATAGAAATTTGATATCATTTTATACACAATAATTTGATTATAAATATTAGTAGAAAATCATGGTCAAAGTAAATTGTGTGAATAGTGCAAAAATTCTAACATTACAACTTTTAAGAAATGGAGGAAGTATTAAGTACCCTAAGTCTTAAACAATGAGTTGTTTATTATTTATTTCTTTAAATAATGATAAATTATTTTGGACCTTTGTTCTTTTAATTCTCCTATTAAGTATTTCTTCTGTCTCATTTTGTACGATATATTTTGTCTAAAAAATATGATCATTTTTCTAATTTGGATGCCACTAACTTTACTTCCTAGCTTAACTCGTAATCAAGTCCAAATTAAACCCGCCCATTAGTCAGGTTTGAAACCCAGTCCATACCCCGTTTTAAATCGTTAGACCCGTTGAACCCATCTAGCCCTCCATTAGAAAAGGTTGTATGAGGGGATTGAACCCTAATCTACAATAATGTATTCCTCACCCGTACGGCCGTACCCAACTCTATTTTTTGGTAGCTATGTGTGGTTGGTAAGGGTAGATAAGGTCATAAGGCCTTGTGATCGTTTGGTTATCAAATCATAACTACGACAGAAAATTAGGGTACAAGACTGAGATTGGGATGATAAACTAAGGTTCCAGAGTGAGATTGGAACAAAAAATTAAAGTTCTGTACCGTGGTTGAAAATTAAGATTCTGTACCAGAATTGAGACGGAATGTGTAGTTCAATTTCTAATGCTTATGAGTTATGAGATATGACATGATTAACTATTGCTCCCCAAATAAGCTCTATTCTACGATGAGAATAGTCTTATGCACATACTAGTTTTAGTAACGCGCGATGCGCGATTGGCTTAGTGCCCAATAACATTGACCTTTTGTAAACGTTGTTGTATTTATTTAGTACAAAATTTGATAGTTTTGGGAACTACCTAAGAGTACTACTACCTAAGAGTACAAATAATTTGAGAATTATCCCTATAATTGTAATGATAATTCATTTATCTGTTATCTCATTTATCCAAATTCTAAAGAATTACTCCGTATATTCTTATGCTTTCGTGTAGACTTTACTTTGAATTTGAGTTAATTATTACGTAGTATATATCATTATATGTGGACATATGTAGTTCATGCATTTTGAGATATTTTGAGATTGAATATGTAATTTGTGTTGTTTTACTAGGGAAACAATATACTTGTTATTTATTCTCCTTCAAAAGCCACTTTATACTTCTAGAACAAGCTAATCATGTTAAATTTTTTATAAATGAAATAATCATCCAACACTTACAAACATTCCTATTGATTTGGAGAAATCATAAGAACAGTGTCTTAACTATCCCAATTTTCAATACATGAACTAAATAAGTAACTCAAAATATTTCTCCACAAAGATGTCATCTAATATTTTCACATTTAAATTTGAGAGATTAGTAATACTCGTAGTACTCTTCTGCTTGAGTTTTTTTTTTTTGAATAAGGAACACTACCCCAATAGCAATCATGACTTGATCAAATTTCTCTTAAGAGAATATCAACCTCACAGAAACCCAGTGCATTAATAGTGGTTCATAAGGTTTTCAACGCTACTTTAGTTTTACTATCTCAATTTCAAGACCGCATGTCAGAAGTAATTCAAAGCAAGGTTTGCTACCATTGAATTGACTAAGTGACCGTGATTCATAACCTTCGATATGCTTTGTTGGGTCTGTAAGAATCGTATACTTCCGTCTCCGGCTCAGGTCTATCTACACACACTCTCACACACCACTCTAGAAGGAAGCTATAGCACACCAATATCTTACTCTCCACTAAGCACCTCTCTACTCTCACACAAAGGAGGAAGAAGGGAGCTCTGCTCTCTGGAATACTCACTCTCGCAGGCTGCTTCAATCAGGAAGAAGCAAGGGGTACAAATACTAGGCTGCCAGCCAGAAGGGAAGTCACAGGTGAGGTAGACAACAAATAGGACACTCACGGGCTACCAAGACAAGAGGTGCAGCAGACAACACAAAGGGGGCCAGCCAAGTGGGTAAGTCAACCACTCAAATAGGTATATACTTGATCAGGATATGTACCAAAGAAAAGGTATCCAAGAGAGAATAAAATAGAGTGTGCAAGCCTCAACAAATAAAGTGGAAGGAAGGCCTTGGTAGTACAATTACCTCCAACATTCTCCACCTTATTGGTCCTAGGTGGTGTAGAGTAACAATACAAGGTTGTGACAAGACTCATCATCGTCGGGTCACCCGGAATATCAAAAGACAAAACGGGCAAACACTTTATTACGCAACCCACAGTTATCCATAATCAAAGTTTAACACGCGTTTACAGGACTAGTGCTTCTCAGCAGAAAGACACTTGGTACCCATATCCGCGGGGTTAAACTCGGACGGGATCTTGCACAGCTTGACTCCACCTGCATCAACAATATCACGTATGA